TTTTTTTCCCGTGCACAGTGATACAAAGTTTAAAAAAATTCCACACAGAAGTTTCATTCTGCTCATCGAGTAAAGCATCCACTTTTTTCCCCCCTCTCGTGGCACAGGATTGACCCTAAACTGAGCAGGTTTATTAGTAAATAATAATAAATGCCTTTCGATTGCTAGCAGTTTCTAGGCTTTTGAAAGGTAGCCCCGCTTTGGGGCAGCTCTGCAGCCACCTCCAGAGATCCCCCCACCCTGCAAACCACAGCCCAAGTTTCAGCTGAATGCTGGCAGCTGCAAACACAACTGTCATCTTTTAGGCAAAAAGGCTACACCTGCCACCTTCAACTGCTTTATTGAAACCGAGCAAAAACATTTAAGTGTTTCCAGCGTGCGCTTTTGTTGGCAGAGATAGTTGCTTTTATGGACACACTGATCTACATTTTCACCTCACTGAGCTCACACACTACACTGAAGGAGCTGGTGACAAAAGAAGCTCCCAAAGGCTGCTTTGCCAAAACAGAGGTAATTAACAGGCCAACGACTCCACCTTGATTGCCCGAGGAACTCATGATCAAAAAGCAGACCACAGGCTTTGTTCTCTACCTAAAAAGACAACCCAGCCCTTGAACTGATGGGAGGTGGGAGAAATCAGCGTAGTGTTTCAACTGTAGTCAGTCTGAAACTGCACTTCAGAGAAGACTTTTCGCCCGGTATTAATAGCTGATAGAACCGTGATCAGCTCCCCCCCACTCCTGTTACAGTGAAAATCACTGCTAAGAGCAAAATTAACTGAATGAAAGGAGCCAAAACGCATAATACCAACAACCAAGAGGCCTGGAAAACAAACAAAACCACCAGCCTAGCAGTTAACATTCCCTGATGAAAGGCCGTGCTCAGTGCCAGCCCCGTGTGGGGAAAGTTAAGTAGCAGTTTGGTTTCTGCTCCCAGGCACACGGTGGTAGTGTCAAGAGACAGGCTGTGAATCACAGATGTGGAGTGCTAAGTTAACATCTGAGCATAAGGGCCAG